GCCATGACTCCACTGCATCTCGAGAGTATCCTCTTTTTAAAGGTGAGCCGCACGTACTGGAGCGCAGCCACTGTGCGCAAGGTCGTTCGGGGAGCGCAATAATCTCCCAATACTTATTCTCCAAACAAACTCCTATATATTTCTTGCAATATGTTCAATTATTGCAGGGGAGAGATAGGTAAAATTATTTGTATTGCTGAATCCTCCAGCAAAATATAAATAGCATTTTCGGAACCCCTGGGCCTACTGATCATTCAACGTTCGGTCACGTGAGGCTCACATCTCTTGGTCGTTATGAGCTCTGACATCCCCATCATCTCGTTGGACGACCCGCAACAAGGTCAGAAGCTGGCCGACGCCTTTGCGCGCTTCGGCTGCTGCTACCTCATGGGTCACGGCATCTCCGACGTGCTGTCCCAGCAGATGATGCAAAGCGCCGAGTCGTTCTGCGCTCTACCCGACGAGACCAAAGCTGCGATCCCAGTGGTACAGAACGGCAAGGGATTTACGCGCGGATACATTGGCGTGGGCAAGGAGAGCGGCAGTACCGAGCGTGTGGAGGTCAAGGAAGCTTTCTCGTACGGCTACGAGTGGCCCGAGAGCAAGAAGGAGGCGTTCGCTAACGGACTGCAGGGTCCCAATGTCTGGCCCAAAGCCGACGACTGGCCCGTCAGCAACCGTGAAGTACTCAACGAGTTCTTCAAGAAGATGACGGCGGCGTCGCGTGCCGTGGCACGGAATCTGTCGCAAAGTCTGTACGGGTCTGCAGATTTCTTGGACAACTATTGCCATCAAGGCGAGACCATCTCCCTCATGCGCATGTTCCACTATTTCCCGTACGAACGGTACGCAGGCTTGACTGGAGGGAAGGGCGCTCTACCAGCGAATTTCCACGAGTTTATCGGCTCGAGTCCACACACGGACTGGGGATATCTTACGCTCATTATGCAAGACCCTGTCGGTGGCTTACAAGTCTTCCATGACGAGAAGTGGGTGGACGTGCCCTACATCCCCGGTACGCTTGTAGCCAATGCTGGAGACTACCTGTCACTCGTGACCGGTGGGAAATGCCTATCACCTGTGCATCGAGTCGTGGCTGACAAGCGCGAACGCTACTCGCTTGTGTTCTTCTACTACCCCGACTTTGATGCTGTTATTCCGTCAGTCGACGACGTGAACGAGCTGCGGATCGGAGGTGATGCGAGAAGTGCGAGAGATAGCAAGCCGTTCAACAACTTCAATAACTTGCTCGACGGAACGGTGCGCAAAATTGACGGGTGCTTTGGCGAGTACATCATGGATAAGTGGGCTGGAGTGCAGCGCTAACTTCCAAGATAGCTGCGTTGCAGCGTCAACAAGCCTGAAAATATATGGCTAGTTGTAGGATGAATTCCAGCGAACTGCTTTCAATTGGTAACCCATGGGTACTTATTTCGCGTCCTGCACCGTTCGCCAATAACCAATAGCACTTAGCCAAGAAACATGTTTTTGCTCCTCCATGTTAAAGTTGCGATGAAACGGCGCGCCAGCGAGAAACAAAGGAAGGGTATCACCAAACCCATGGTTCATGGAGTACTGAAACGATCTGATCGCTGGCCACTGAACTTCAGTGGAGCGAGACGACGCCTGTGGAAGCGTCGCGTGCGGCAATAACCCCACCAACGTCCCTTTCAGAATTCCCTCCAACTCATCCTCGCCACGACCCCAAACAATGGACGGTTGCAACGGGAAAGATTTCGATTACTTGCCAGGTAAGGGCAAAACCTAACGATGGTATCTAAAAGGTTTCATCAGAATTTTAAAGATTGAAAACGTAGAGCGCAGATATTGAGAGCTCAGAACGCGATCGACAGGCGTATTAATAACCGCTTCAGTACGTCGAAAACGCCCTTTGAGCGGCTTTTGATCCCATCGTAATGAAAAGCGTCGTTTCAAATGGTCGTTAGCGTACGACCGTGTGTGCCCCACCCAGTTCGTGTTTGTTCCCTAGCGCCCGCAGTGCCTGAAGCTACACATTCTTCATTTCACCGAGTCCGACGTACGCGCATCCCGTGTTGCTGCAAATGCTGAGTGCTGCCCAATCTTCGCTTGCCTTCGTCATCGTCGTGGTAGCTATCGCCACCTCTTCTTTTAAGCCTGGCAACGTCAGACTTCGGAATGTCCCGCCAGCTCTGCAAAAATCCTCGCTAGTAACGGATGTCTACAGTGCGCTGTTGGGCCGCGTCAACAAGGAACGTGCCGCAAACGGATTGTCATCACTTTGCGCAAGTTCCAAGCTGCAGAAGGCCGCTCAACGACAGTCGGAAGATATGGCAGCGAACGACTTCCTCCACCACGTCGGATCGGACGGATCCACGGTTCCAAGCCGCATCTCGGAAGCTGGTTACAAGTGGAAATCGATCGCTGAAAACGTCGCGGGTGGTCAAGCGGATGCCGACGCAGTCGTGGGCACGTGGATGAACTCGACCGGCCACCGCATGAACATCCTGGGCGACTACACTCACTTTGGTGCAGGCTACACCTTCAACCCGGACGGAATGTACACGCACTACTGGGCGCAGGAGTTTGCCACTAGCGACGTCGAATCCTGCGACGCCTCTCGACTGATGTAAGCTAATAGCTTGCACTCTTTACGTAAATGTTTAGACGCCAACCATCGTATAATGGCATAACGAGATACGTTCCGCAAAAAAAGTGTTCGCATCTATTTCGTACACTAGAATCTACTCTTCTTAGAACTTCGCATCACAGTCGTTCGCCGCGTTGACCTTACCGGGAGTCTCCGGTTCCTCAGCAGTCCGCTCCGGCGCTGGAGTATTAATAGTGTCCTACACGGGTACATCAGTCTTCGTGCCGGTCGCACCTTGGACCTTACCAGGCTGCTCCTCAGGGCAAGGAGATTCCTCTTTTGGAGCCTCGGTCACGTAAACGGAAGTCTTGGGAACCGGTGTGCCGTTGTCCGCCTCCCCCTGAACATTGTCCTCATTCTGGGCAACCTGCTGCTGGTCGGGGTTTTGCTCTTGCTCTTGACTGAGGCCCTGCTCCTGGTTTTCCGAGTCTGAATCGCAGGATTCGGTGTCTCCTTTGCCGAAGTCCTGGGTCCAGTAGTGACGGTACTCGCTGTTGTCGTTGTAGGCGTACGAAACACCAAGCATCGTGTACTCGCCCATGATGTTCTCACGGTGCTCAGGTGAGTGCATCCATGCGTCCATGACGGCCTGGACATCTTCCTGCCCGGCAGCAACGTTCTCACCGACGGCGCTCCACTTGTATCCCGCATCGGTGATACGTTGGGACATTGTGGAGCCATCCGTTCCGTCGTGAGCCATGTAGTTGTTCTGGGCCATATCGTCGCTGTGACGCTGGGAGGACGACAGCAGCTTCTTGTTACCGCAGACGGGTGGGAGACCTTCAGCTGCACGTTCCTTATTAACGCGTGCAAGCATTTCAGCGTGGAAGTCACTCGACTGCGAGTACGTAGCTCCCAAGTTTCGCTGCATCTGACGCAGGTTTGCAGCTCCAGAGATGCCGATAAAAGCCGTGGCGACGAGAAGTAAAGTTGCGGACGAGGTCTTTAAAGTGGTCATCATGGTTGAGTTTCGGTGGTTGGTGCAAAATTGAATAATGACTTTGGTGTGGAGGCGCTTGGGGTGCGAGAGCACCTTGCGTGTTGTGGAGGTGAGGCTCTCGTATCGCCATATGTAGCTCGTCTTTCGCGTTCGTTTGCCTAGTTTTCAAGGGCGTAGAGAGGTTTTGCATGAAGACGTCCACAAAATAGTTGCCACGTGTCGAAACAGATACTCCGGAGTACTTACTTTCGAAGTTACTTAAAAGCTAATGCCGCATGGTTAGTGTCTCCTAAGATTATCAAGGCTGGTGTTTCGACCCCATCCGGTGAAGATAGGATACTCTCTAACGTTTACTCAAGTACTTGTATGAGTATGAAAGAGTAAGTAACGTACTTCGAAGTATTTATTTAAAAAAGTGTTGTTCTCACCACAGATCGCCAATTCAGCCGCTTCTTCTTATCGACTACCACCACAGAGGGCTGACAATTGTAAAAGTACCTTCAGTGCATCTGCAATCAATAAAGCTGAGAAAAACGCAGCTTTCGTTTCTATGGATTCGAGATTCACCATTCATTTGTACGTGGTTAACTACAGTAGAGTAAATGCAAATACAAAGCAAAAAGGTCCACGGCAATCCTTAGCCAGCATGGTCACAGTCCTCGTCGTAGGGGCGTTTGCCAGTCGCTGGGATGTGCGCACTTGGGGTGCCGTACTTCTTGTACACCGGTGTAGGAGTAACCTCAGGAGGGTCTACAACGACCACAGGGGTTTCTTCTGGCTGTTCAACCACGGTTGCATCGTCGAAAGCCTCAGGAGGGTCCACAATCACAACAGGGGTCTCGGGCTCTTGTGATGCAGTGCAAGGAGCAACCGTCACCTCGACGTCACCACTTGGGGGGTACGGAAGAGGGTCCACCACGATCGGAGGTTCAGTTGTGCAAGGCGCTTCCGTCGTCTCGACAACGTACACAGGAGCTTCGGTCTTGTGTGATTCGTACGGAAGTGGGGGATCAGTGTGAGGGGCGTAAGTATCTTTGACAGCGTGTACGTAAGAGTAGGTGTTATACCTGTTGGTTGTGACAGGTACATCCACC